TTGGGGTTTAAGGGTTTAGGAGTTTAGGGCTTTTAGGGTTTAGGGGGTTTAGGCCTTTTAGGGTTTAGGGCTTTTGTTCTGCAGGTGGTCAACATACGCTGGCATGCGTTCTACGACGCACAGGGCACGATGGGGGACGGGGGCCAGGGTTCCTAAACACATTTGTGTAGACTACGGTTTTAGGGGTTCCGTTAAAGGGCTCCTTAAAGGGATCCAAAGGGTTCCTTAAGGGGGTTTAGGGCTTTAGGTGTTGGGTGTACATTAGGCACCGCCGCAGGATGCAGGGTTTATGAGTTCGTAATCGAGAGTCTCCGAATATCAGGGACCCCAATATGGAGCCGCCCTAGTTTTCTTTTGTGTTTGAGGACTGCTGGGTCAAACTTCTCGTCCAGCCCCTTGATATCGTCCTGAAAAGTGGGTATTTAGGCTACATTTCAGGGTAGTTAGGGGGCGGTCTCTAATTCAAGCCCTCAAACAACGGCAGCAGTGTTTGCTTTATTCGGTGCCCAATGCTGTAGTGCTTGTGGCGAAGACGATCACCATGTTTGCAGAATTGCTCGAAGCCCTCTGATCTTGCAATCCCACGTTAGCCGAAGATGGGGGATCACTCGCAGCAAGTCGTCGCTTTGTCTGAGGCGGCTTTCAGGTTAACAAATTGAGTTCAGGGTTTGGGGTTCTGCTCTTCAGAGCCCCGCATTTTTTTCTCAGGCCCGGGCCTACTTCCACCTCTGCCTCAAGCGGAGCAGGGAGGTAATTTGCAAGCATGGTCTCCCGGAGCCGCCCCGAGATCTTGACATCTTAGCACAATTACAGCATCACCAGCGCTTCATCACGACGAACACAGGCTAAATTGCTGAACCTCTGGCTTCCAACCTTAAATAGGCAGCATCTAAACCTCAGCTCCCAAATCCCTCTTCCCCCAAACCTGTCGGATTCTCTACGCCCGAAGATAGTTCGATCGCAAACCCCGAAGCAGTGCTTTCCTCATGAAGAGAGGCCTAAAGTTCTACTACAACTTCGAGTCTCAGCAGTCGCTGCGGAAGCTGTCGGCGAAAGAGCCCCGCAGCTTGATCTAGGACACTCTTACTTCGAAAGGTTTGGGGCTGAGCAATATGCCTTAGGGCTGACACCAACTATAGTTAAATATACTGTAATATACCGTAATGCCGCACAGCTCTGTTCTAAATACGAGGCTCGCGTGGCAGCCACCACCCCCGCTGCCCGCGGTTGCCGATTCGAGCATCGGGACAAAAAGGGCGCTGGAGCTTTCTTAGGCGAAGCTAGGTGGGGCGTTGACTGCTCGGCTGCTTTTTGCAAGAGGAAATGGTTCGAAGGTAGGGGTATTCAATATTCTTCTTCCTTATCGTGCATATACGGTGACAGACAAGGAGGAGAGCATGTGTTGTGTAGCATTTATCACCCAGGGTTAAAGACTGAAGGGTGCGGAGTTGGGCTGAGGTGTCGGAGCATTGTGGATCTTCGGCTTCGTCATGTTTAAGGGACATAATGCCCTGCAGAGATGTTCAGGGATCCCAAGCCCTATAAATCCGGCGCCCAGGATCCCCGAACCCTGGAACCCTAAAGCCTATAAGCCCGATTCCTGGAAGGCACAGGTTCGGAACTTTGAGGCGCTCTCAGATGGCAGCGGCAGCACTGAGGTCCAGGGTCCACCGTGTGTGGGCTTCGTAACAGGGTTCGGGATTCAGGGTTCCCGGATCAGGAGCTTGAGATTCGGGTGTTGTCGGCAGCACCTAAACAGGAACGGTCCAGTTTCAAGAGCTGGTTTCGAGTGCTCTTCGGCTCAGCCCTTGGGCTTGGGCCTATAGAGTCCTGGGTAATTGTAGCTTTCAGAAGATCTAGAAGGGGTCCTGTCTCGAGGTTTCCTAAGGGTTGATGGGGTGTAGGGGGTGCACCTCAGCACTTTCTCTAAGGATGGGGAATCAAGCTGGAGCCTGAGGTCCTGTACCATTTAGCAGCCTGAGGCCTTCTTCACTCCTTGGTATTCTCTAGAGCCCAGCACCTTTGACTGCGAAACCCAGAATTTTTCCTGTGCCAGTCCTGGAAATTCCGGCACACGGCGGCCAGCATAGAGCTTGTGTTTGGGGCCTCGGGTTGGGTCATGAGACTTGAGGTTGGTGCGGACTTGAGGTTGGTGGGCTCTACATGAAGATTGTGTGCTTCGGGGGTGGGATGCTTGGCACTATCTGAGGATGCGAGTTCCAGGAGTCAGGGCTTTCGTGTTCAGAGATTGAAGGTCGGGATTTGAGAGCTTTGAGTGTAGGGCATCCGTTTGCTGTACCTTGCCAGCTTAACCCTTCCCCACAGAGCTCTCACAGCATTGCTCGTTGCTGTGCCCTTTCTTTGGTTTAAAGCCCCAAGCACCGAATAGGAGAGCCCCCGTTCGTTTGTGAGGAACTATATGGGTAGCTCTCTAAATCAGGATCCTTTTGGGGGCACTTTTTTTTTTAAGGGTGCCGTACTATATTTCGGACCTATAAAGGGACCCTAATTTAGAGAACTACTCATATTCTATACCATAGACTATTGTGGCATCGTTATGGAGGCTTAAACGAATTTCCTCAACGAGAACCCAGAACCCTCTTGGTGGACCATAATCCCAATATACTCCCAAAGGCTAACCTTCAGTTCGCCAGGATACTGGACAGTATGTCATAACTGAGTCATAATGTTATTTTGCAACACATTGGGATATATTGTCGTACATTTTGATGTTATCAGCTTGTAGTATAGATGTAGGACTTTGTGCTAAAGGGTCGGGCGCCTTGGGGCATCGTCGGCGAAGGGAAGCCCCGACATGATCTGCGGGCCTTTGGCTGTGCATTCCATGCCTGCTGCATGCGATACCTGAAGTGCAGCAAGTTTGTAGCACTAGGACGTTGCGAGGCATACCAAACAAGGGACATCGCCAAGAGCGAGCACTTGCAACACTACAGCAGCCAGCAATCCCAGCAGTACGACGCAGAGGACCGATTAGAACCATTATCGCCATAAAACCATAGACCCAGGGGTACCGCTGCGGAATGCAAAACCGCGTCGCCCAAATCAAAGTCCTCTCCGGCTTGTTTTCCCCTCGAAGCTTACACCCCTGAGCCCTGAGGGAGTACGGGGGTTATAAACGCAAAAGAAGCGCAAATGAAACAAGATGGAAGGCTTCTTACGCATGCCTGATGTGCTGCCATGATCAGCATCGTGCCGACATCAGCTGCCAGTCAGACTTCGAAGGACTACGAATCCTTGCTCGCAGGACTTTGGGGCGGGTTCTTCACGATGGAAGTCACCCTCACCGTACCTACAGTCACCAAAGCCCCCGAAACTCAGGCAAGCCCCATAGCTCTTAGCCGAAGCCGAGTTGCGAGTCCAAGCCGAAACCCTAAACTGCCCCTAAACCCGTGAAGTCTGGATTTACTTTTGTGGGTTCGGGCTTCCGAAAACTTTCAACGGAGCCTCTTAGAGTGCCATTTTTGCTTTCCTAAGACAGGGATCCAATGCATCCTAGGCCATGAACTCCAAGCCCTCTCTGCCCCGAGCTTCAGAAGCCCTCTTATAACTCCGAGACCTCTTCCTCCTAAACGGTTAGCGCCGAAACGTTGAAAGCCCCTGAAAGGAGGCGACTTGGTGGAGCAACTGAAGCAGTGCCTGCTAGGCAAATGCCGCAGCTCAGATGTCAAGGCTCCGGGGACGTTTGGGGTTTAGGTACGGGTCTCGTCCGTCCTGGAAACTCAAAACACGATCAGCCCCCAAAAGGCGAATAGTTAGTAGTAGTCTCTAAACCGCAAGCTAGATCCTGAAGCCCGCAGCAAGCCTACTTGAAAGAAGCAGTATGCCCTGAATGGTAACGTGCCTCAACGGTGCATGGGGAGCAAAGCTTACATTAGGTGGCATTCCCCTATGGTCCAGCAGAATCTTATAGGAGAGCGACACCTTCAGACTTAAGCCTTGTCCCTATGCCTATACCGCCAAAGCCTGAGCGACTTGAACACTTTTCCTAGACCTTCTTTGCCCCCCCCAAACCGAAAAGCTCGACAATATAACCTTGTATTGTTATTAGTATGATTACTATTTTTATTAATTATTATAGTGTTATGATTATTATTATTATTGTCATTATTATTAGACCGCTATTCCGGCACCTAAACGCCCCAAACCCCTAGAGCCCGATGCAACCCCCAGGTCACCCCAAAACCCTCTGACCCGGATACTTCTAGAGCCCTAAATCCAAAACTCTACAACCCGGAGACTTCTAGAGCCCTAAATCTCAAGACCCTACGGCCAGAGCCCTCTCGAGGTCCTCCTGGAGCTCCGAGCAGATCCGAACAGCAGTTTCCCATACACTCTGGGGCCCAAGGCAACGAGGGTTTAGGCTAGGGTTGAGGGGGAGTAAGAGGGGGGCTCTTGGGCACAGGGGCTTACGCACCTTTTCGGGTGTAGGGTGGCGTCAGGGGCAGAAGGCGTATGGCTGTTTTATACAAGATGGGAGCACCTTCTCTCGGCCTTCTCAGCTCCTTGTTCGAGCAAAAGTGTCTGCTGGGTTCAAGAGCTCATGGGGTTGGTGTCCTTAAGTTGGGGTCCTAAGCCTAAACCCTAAACTAAACCCTTTTGATGGATGCTCCTTGAAACAAGGACCTCATCCTGCAGGTCAGCAGAGTATTGCATGCCTGTATTGCATGCCTTAAGCTAGGATAACCTGCCCTGTCTTGGGGTTCTACGAAACCCTACCAAAAAAAGTAGGTTTGAGTAGGTCCACGTCAGGAGTCTTTGATGCCAGCGTTTTCAGGCCTGGGGCTTCTCTAATAAAGCACTAGGGTGTACTGTGGGCCTAACATCCCCACTTGCACTTCCAGGTCACTTGATACTCCAAGCAGGGACACCCAATGCCCTAAAGCTAAACTCTACACCCAGACTCGAGTTTTAAACCCTCAACCCTAAACTCTGGTTGCCTTCCTACGCATCGAGGAGTTCATGGGATCGCCCTTGACCTTGGCAGTGAAGCGCGATCTGCCCAACGTTCCTCGGCAGTTGCTGTCCACAGTGGTGCTGAGGGCTCTTACCGTTTTTAAATTAAGGGCTTTGAGATCCTTGGAGTGGGAAAGTAAGTAGAGCAGGATGAAGGTGCATATGGTCTAGAGGGCTGAAGATTATAGGGCTTCGGTTTTGGGCCCCCAAACCCTCACACCCCCAAAGCTGAGGTCCACACGTCTAGCCACCCAAATCGAACGGAGCCCCAAACTCCACCGTCATCCTCTGAAATCCGACTTCGGACCGGGCTCCCAGAGGAGCTACTGCTTAGCTGCGAAGCGGTAGCGGTTAGGACCAAGATTTTTGCTGGCTGGCTTAATTAAGTTTATGCTGTTTGTAACGATCTCTTGTGTGTGCGTGTGTGCATTTTCACCGGCGGGTTTACGTAGGGTCCTTGAGATGATTCATTGGTAGTTACTTGGCCTTTATTCCTATCCCTACACCCAGCATCTAGCTACCCATGATCCTTCAAGCAGCTGGTTGAGCTGCTTGTTCATGTTACTCAGGTGGTCCGCCTGCTCTTCGCATACCAAGCTCATCCAGAGACAGCCTACTCTATGACGGCAGGAGCTGCGACAAAGCCGTGGCCCGGGGGATTTCTTTTGGCGCCTGCAGGGTCGTCCCAAGAGTTGTGGGAAAGGGGTCCTGAACGGCCCTAAAGTCAAAAGGAATTTATGACAGCCCGGCACCTCTGGCAGATTTCCTAAGCTCTTTGGTCAACTTTGTTCCTTCTCCTGCAGTGCTTGGCAGGACGCTCCGGTGTGAGATGGACTGGCCCAGCCGTATGCGCTACCATTGCCTCTCGCTCTTGTTTTTGGGAGATGGTGAATCCTGTGGGTCGCCTAAACCCTAAACCCATACACCCATAAACCCTAAAGCTACATTTGGAAGGCCTGAGAAGCGCAGAGACCGCAGAGAGCCCTCAGCAAAGCCGAGGGCTGAACCGGGAGAGGCTTCTCCAAAAAGCCCCCAAAGAGCTGCAAAATCCTTGATTGCATTCAGGGTTTAGGGTTTAGGATTTAGGGTTTAGGGGTTTAGGGCTTAGGGTTGCGAGAGTCCTGGATGCAAAAGGGCTTAGGGTAAATTCAAATCCCCCGTGCCGAAGCGTCGTCAGATGACATCGTACACACAGGTATCCTCTTAGGACCATCTCGGAGTCTGAGTTCACTCGGGAGCTTCCCGCGTTTTCTGGATCCTGAAGCCAGAGCCCCCAGAGGCCCAAATCCTAAATAGACTGTAAGTCAAAACGATCAGGACCCTGACCTGAAACCGAGAACCTCAAGCTCGCAGGTTCAGGTCTACTAAACCTTAAAATTCTTGAGTCATCAACCCAATAATAAGTCAATAGGGCCTTAAGATTCCCCAAACTCTGAATGATTCGAGGCAAGGGGCAATCTCTCGATGATGCGGCTGCTGGTAGACTTTGAAGCCAACCTGAATGGACGGGTGATAAAGTTCAACGGCGAGCCCAACGTAACATTGCTGCTTCGAGGCATATGGGGGGGCCCTCATTTTGCTGCATCGATTTCCTGCAACTTAATTGTGCTTACTACTCTCAAATCGCCGGCCTGATGCCTCACCCAGGCTTTATGATGCAAGCTACTTTGGCCATGCGCATCTGGTGCGGTACCTGCTGCAGCAGAAGGGCAACCCTGACACGGCCGTGAAGTCTCAGGATCCTGGGTCTCAAAGGGCTCCAAGGGTGGGGTGAAGGTAGGTGGGGTAATCCCCAAATAAGAGTCCTTATATAAGGGATCCTTAACCCTACCTGCCTTAATCCCACATTTTGAGGCCTCCAAGGGTCGAGAGTTTGGCGTTTAGGCACGGGGCAAGGGAGGAGCCTACCATGAGTTGCTAGAAAGTTATACTGGAGTGTGGAGGGAAGTCTACAGTATACAGGGAAACATGCAGAAGGGGCAGGGCGAAGCGGCTTCTGCAGAATGTAACTTGTAAAGTCAGATGTAATGAAAGAAGGGGTTGTACTTAGACAGCCTGCCTCATTCCCGGGGGTCGATCTGAGGACGACATGACGATCACCAAGACTGCCTTGCATATCGCCGCATCTCTGGGCCACGAAGAGGTGTGTGTTTTTTGGTGTCTGGCCTGGCCAGAACCCAAGTAGAGTGGTTCAGGTAAGCCTCACGTTCCCTAAGCCTTACACGCTTAACAACTGCTGAACAGCCCCCTAAAATCCCAAATTCAGTTCCCTTGAACCCTAAAAATCCCAAATTCAGTTCCCTTGAACCCTCAAAATCCCAAATTCAGTTCCCTTGAACCCTCAAAATCCCAAATTCAGTTCCCTTGAACCCTAAACCCCTATAAACCCTATAAACCCTGGAACTCCAGGTGGTTCGGGTTCTCCTGGCGGCAAAAGCACAGATCTCCCATGCCCTGGCCGATGGGGGCGGCCCACCCGAGCTGAAGGATGCTTCTTGGAGAGGAAAGCAACGTTTTTTTTGTTCTCTAAAGAAAGGGTCCCTTTTTAGGTATAGTAAGGTATACCCTTATATAAAAACGGAGCCCAAAAGGGACCCTAATTTAGAGAACTGGGCCCATGGTTGAGGCTTTGGATGTTTTTTTTGTCTTGGTAGGCTGAGTTCCTAAGCTTTCGTGGGCTGTGATTCCTTTGGGGTCAACTTGACCTTCCGAACGGTTATGGTGTGCCTGTGTTGGATATTCGTGGGGTGGCAAAGGGTAGGCAGGCCGGTCGTGAACTTGGGCACTTGGGGTCAAGGATGGTTAAGGGCTTCTAGCTGGGGTCGTCGTTGATGCGAGGCTGTGGATGGCTGTCACGTGGAGGTGGCTCGGCGCCAGCTTTGGGAGTGTTGAGCTGCAGATATAGAAAGTCTATAGAAGCTCCCGTCGTTTCAGGTACTTGATTGAGGCATTCAGTGGGGAGATTTGAGGTTTCATGGTGTAGAGACCCTACTTATCAAGCAGGGCAGGATGAAGCTGAAGGTCCCGAAACAGCAATTGGGTGACGGGAGCCATCTCTGCAAGTTTCCGTTTTGTCCGAGGTCGTTAAACTGCTCGTTCAAGGCGGGGAACCGTGAATTTGAGCTTTAGCGTACGAAGCCATCGGCGGTAACATGCATGCATGCATGCATGCATGCATACATGTGCGATGCATTCCAGAAGTCGTTCCAAGCTGCATCCTTCGTGTTAAGACCTTTGATAAGATATGTGATGACCCGGAATCGCCAACTTCGGTGGCGTGTTGAATCTAAGACCTATGATGCACACAAACGGCTGGAAACATATTCGCGCGTGAATATGCGAAGATGCTGTAAGTGACTACATGTTCACATCGGTTCAAGATTCTGGGGAACCGCAATTGCTGGAATCTTGCAGCCTCGGCCGAAGCCAGAGCAGCTTCTGAATAGGGCGTGCGCAGCGAGCATCCTGTGTAAATAACAGGATGCGGGGACCAGGTGCGCACCATGTGCTGCTACAGAAACAGGACCCGGGAGTTAGGCAAAGTGTGAAGGAAAGTGTGAATAACGTGAGTTTAAAGGAGAATTTCCGCTTGGCCATAGTTGCATACGCTCTTGGACAGGAAAAACCACAATAAAAAAGGAAACCAAAACAACCAACAAACTATATTGGTACTCGAACCCTTGGAGAGGAGCTACAAAAACTGTCGATTTGCAACAGCAGCTTGAAGCTTCGGAACTCAGATGTCGACAGGAAGAGGATTCAAGACGGAATGCTTTGAGAACGTTAGAAGATGTGGCAGAGCAGGAACGACAAGCCAGGCAAAGCTTGGAAGAGCAGCTTTCGCTCCTACTGCAGGAGCGACGAAAGAGTGCCCGTTTGCAAAAGCAGCTTGAAGCTGCAGCGAACACGCTTGAAGATGTGGCAGAGCTCGGACGACAATTCAGGCGATCCTTGGAACAGCAGTTTGCACTCCTGCGGCAGGAGCTGAACACTTTGCAACAAGCATTTAACGCTTGGGTGAGCAGCTGGAGCGATTTGCAACAGAAGCTTGAAGACTGAGAACGCCGGTGGCGACATCAGCAGGATGCAAGACTGATCGCAAAAGGAGATTCGGCATATGTGGCAGAACAGGGACGGCAAGCCAGGCAAAGTTTGGAAGAGCCGCCTGCACTCCTACTACTGCAGGAGCGACGAAACAGTGCCCGTTTGCAATGCCAAACAGAAATAGCAAGCCCTGGAGGGACAGGAACAAGCGAGACAGGCCAGGGAGAGGGGCCATTTTATTTGGATGGCCCCAAACAGTCCAGATCTGTGGTTTGGGGGGATCTCGCACAGACTGCTGCCTTGACGGTAAGGAGAAGGTTGGTTGTGAACATCATTGGCGTCTGAATCGGAAACGGGGCTGGGAGTTTGGGAATTGGGGTTCTTTCTGCACGCAGTGTGTACGTGATCCGGCAGACATGTGAAGAAATGTTTGCATCATTAAGTGCGCGTGTGGCTCGGGCTACGACGCAAGCGTATCGATGCAAAGGTTGTCGACGAATCGTGTTTAGTTGACTTGGCGGCCGCCTGAAGCGGCGAATCCAGTTCTTCAGACAAAGATTCTGCGTCTCATATCGGGAGCCGCTGTACGTCAGAGTCATGGTGCTTTTTGAATGGAGGACCTACAACGGGTAGCATCAGCGCAGGTGCTCTGCAAACTCTGGAACGTGAATCCTGAATTGCTTGGTGTGCCCCTGCACATGTCAGCTGCAACGAATCGTCTCTAAGACTGTCTCCTCTGTCCGGGGATTGTCAGGCGCGTTACGAGCCACGAGGCCTCATAGTATGAGCTTTGCCGGTACCTGGACAAATGTCAGATTCGACCTTACGCGTCATCCTGACTGCGAAGTCCGAAGCCACAACACCTCCGGTATGAATTGAAGGAATCCGACTCAGTTCAGGTCTTTGGAGTTTGCAAGCAGATCTACATATCCAACTACATGTCGAAATATCTCAACTGAAGACCAGTTCGACAGCCTCATCCACCCCCTATGCTAAGGACCTTGTCTCTGAGCTTGCTGTTTTGAGTCATTAAGGTGGAGGTTTTGGGGCTTCGAATCAGGGTTCACAGCTTTAAGTGTTCGGGATCTCGTAGTTTGGTGTTTAACCTGCTGGCAGCGACGCTCAATTTCATCTCCAATGGCAACCGATGCCACAAGCTACGCTCCCGTAGGAATTCAATCCTGAACCTTTTGCATTCCTGAAATCAATGCTCTTTTTAGTCTCTTGCATCACCAGACTGCCCTTAGTATATGTCGTTTCGGTATTGAATCTCGACTCTTGCCTTGACCACTATGTGTGTTCAACTTGGATCCTGGGCAGCTCATGCAGGGGTTTCCGAGAATAGGGGACCCGAATATAGTACCCTAAATAGTAGGGTCCTTATTATCAGGACCCCGAAATAAGGCACCCTAATTTTCGGAAAGTCCCATGTTCAGGGAAGGCCGACGTCTTCGGTGGCGATGTGGGCAGACGCGGCATTGATCACCTTTTCGAGGCCAGAGCTGGGCCGAATCTTTGGGGACGTGTTTTGAAACCCTGGGTTCAGAGATTTTCAGCCTGCGGGTGTGTCTCATTAGGAGTTTGAACGGCTTTGAGGCTCAGTTTAAAAATGAGCTTTAGGTCCAGTACTCAGGGTTCAGGATTTTAGGGCAAGATTCTTCTAATTACACAGTCTGGGGCTAGGGTCCATGCGGCAGAGCTCAAATTTTCATAGCACGGTACCTGGCTAACCGGCCTGTTCTTGCTCGTTCGGCCCGTATCCAGGGCCAAAAGACCCCAAATCTTCCAAAATGAGAGAGTCCGGCCCTTGGTCCAACCCTACGGTTTCATCCTGGAACTTCGATGTCCGGCAATGCAGGAATACTTAATTACTTCTTCGGGCTATAGTAGGGATCCTCATCTAACGGATTTTGGAGTGTCGGAGCAGTGGCGGCTTCTTGACTTCAATAAACCCCGTGAGCAGCCCCCGACGTAAAATGACTTGCACTGCAAAGTCTGGTGGTAAAGTTGATGATATACATCCTGCATTACCCATAATAAGGAGTACACCATAATTCCCATAGTTTAGGGTCATTGAGGTAATGCAGGATTTATATCATCAACAGTAGTTCTGGAACTCTGTGCATTCTCAACATCCCAAGTCGGCTCTAAGCTTGTAGCGCGTTCACCCACCGGCGCCACGGCAAAACCCTAAACACTGCCTGCCTCCAGCGAGCGTGCGAGTCGAAAGCCTAAACCCCAAATCACACGCCCTAAACTCCTAAACGAGTCGAAACTCCAACATCCGCACCCAGCCATCCCAAGAGGGTTTAGGGTTTAGGCTAAACCCTAAACCCTAGGGCCCTAGAGAAATCGAAGGCAACAAGAAGCTGATGTGAGGCCAACAATTCCGTCTTGGTGGCGGCGGCTGCCACGGGTCTGAAGCAGGCAACTGGCTCAGGATCCTCTTCTATGCTGGTTGAGGCTGGGCCTCTCCTCCTGATTTTCGAACAGCATCACTTCTTGTGACATGTAGGCATTGTTGCAAGAACACGAGACTTTTTGCAGCTACGCTGATGTTTTGTGTTCCTGTTTGTTCAAAAAATTGGTTTCTTGCTGAAAAATCCTGGCCCCGGCTTGTAGCCGTTGGTAGTCAGGACTGGCGGCTGCAAACGTGAAACCCTTGCCTGAAAGCCATGATGTCCATGCCAGGATTTCATCCACTTCCTCTCAACGCCCGATGCCGAGGAGATTGTCAACGCAGTCTTCTGCAACTGCGAGCTGCGCTATTGGCAAGGAGAACGCCGGCTGGTTTGGCGAACCGCATACGTGCCGCATGGCGACATGAATGTCGCAGTCGGACCGACAAAGGAGCATTTCGAAAGGAAGTTCCAGCATGAGATGGAACGGGCGGCATCGCAGAACACAGGACGGTTGTCACACCGATGGGATCTCCTTCTCTTACTTGTCTTAGCAGCCGCAAGAAGCCTTAGGGTTCCCTTCTGACCGAAGTCCAAGCCCCCAGGACTTCCGGAAGGATATCAGGACGGTGAGGATGAGGACTTCTTGTCGTGCCTCCTTCCTCACAGGTTCGAGAAACTGCCCGGCCAGTCCCAGATACCGGCACCTTGCCTTCTGAAAGGATTACGCCTATAGGGGTAGGTCGTGGTTGCGGTTCAGGGTGTTTCGGGCTTCTTTAAAGCTCTCATTTGGAGGAGGCGACTCCAAGAGTGTATCGCTCATCTGCGTGTCCGCTTGTTGAGGATCCCGACGATCATTTAAGGGAGCTCCCTCAGTGAAGGGATTTTGGGGGTTGCTGGATCTGTTGACTTTCTTGTGTTGTAGGTCTTGATGGAGCTTTGTGGGAATTACCAACGAAGCCAAGTACCGTGAACCCAAAGCCCGGCTGTCAGGTGCACATTTTTCAGTGCCTCCTGCCTGGGCTGCACAGAGACCCAGAGGCAGTTGAGTAACGGGGTGTTGGGAGGTAGAGGGTTCAATGCAAGATGCCAATTTCGTAAGCCAAAGCATCTGGAAATGGTGGGGCTTACACACCCCACAACAATCCCCCTCGAACTGGAATGTAGCAAGGCTCAGGCCAATGTTTTCGAATGATCGATAGTCGCAGACGCCGGGCCTGAACCACAGCACCGACACAGCTCCCGGCAGGTCTTGTGGGTGATCGCATCTGGTGTCAACGACCGCATCTTCGATCAGAAGGGCGCGCGGGCCATCATTCAGCTGGCATGGCGAGAAGCCGAAATCTGGCAGATCATTGCCTTTGCCCTGGCGCCCCGGATGCATCGAGCGGGCTTTTTTCCAGTGGGGCGAGACCATCCCTGACATAGGCATGTATGATATACCCGGGCCTCAGCAGACAATCCAGAAGATTCATACTCGAACTGGCAGAGCCTTTAATCTTGCAGGCTGACGGGCTTGATGCCGAGAGCCTTGACCCACTAAAGCAGCCCCACTCCCGACCCGGTCTACAACTCATATCCTAAAAGGCCACCGGATCCCTACAAACGCACGACCCCCCGAAGCTCCCCTAGTCCAAACCCCAAGCCGTCAAGCCCCGAATCCCCCCAAACTCCATCAGCCTTCAGGAGGTGATCATCCTTATCCCCCCGCCCCCCCCCCCCCAAAAAAAATCAGACTAAATATATGTATATG